TCTGGGCATCGTGGGGGTTCGGGCTGCTCCTCCGAGTAGACAGGATTGGGCATGTTTTCCTGCTTTGAGGGGGATGTTTTCCCATCTGTTTTCTAGCTCGGGGAGGCCGGCGTAGAAGAAAGCTCCTTTTTTGTGCATTTGCTCTGTGGTTGGCTGTGTCCCCATCCCCGTTCCCACAGAGCTGGCCTCTTGCCCTGTTTTCCTTCTCCCGCCCCGTGGGTCCCCTGTGCAGAAGGCGCAGCCCCAGCTCTCCCCCTCCCCCCCGCTGCACCGTGGTGGGAAGCCCCGGGGATCGCGGCCCAGCCCCCGCCCTCCTGCCTCAGAGCCACAGACCGAGGCTCCCACATCCTCGTTCTCCATGGGGCAGGTGCTCTTTTATTTTATTTTGAGGGGCGGCAGGAGAGCGATAGAGAACCGAGACTCCTTTCCGTGCGTAACTCTGTTGGTATGACATTCAGGAAGCATGATTTAATGTCCCACGCGGCCACCTGCCGGGTTGCGAACTTCTCCGTGGCTGTCAGGCTCCCGGTGGCCTGGGCTGGGTCAGGAGGCACCGGACGGGAGGGCGGCAGGAGGGGCTGCTCAGGGTGCGCTGGGAGCTCCGCCCTCAGGCCTGGGCCCCTCGGGCCGGGGGGAGCGAGGGGGGTCCTCTGCAGACTCTCGTCTGGCACCTGTCGGTGATGTCCCCGGGCGTGCGCCACAGGTGGCTCCTCAGCATCTGGGACGCTGCGCTGTGTGGTAGGGAACACAGGCAGAAATCGACTTCTTCCACCGGCGAGCTGCGCACGTTCGTTTATAAAACCAAGAAAATCCTTTTGCCCTTCTCTGAGGGCATCGTGTGTCCCTTAGGGACGCCAGTGAGCGGGACGGGACGGAGCCGGCCACCCCTGCTCGGTGGGGCGCACTAGCCCCGCGGGGGACACAGAGCAGAGGCCGCGGAGCCGTCGTTCTTGGGTGACCGCGGGTCAACCCGGCCTGCGCGCCTCTGCGGGGCTCGCTCACCCCAGGGGCCTGCGCGCCACCGGGCTCTGGCGTGAGTGAGCTGGCCAGGCGACCCCGCTGTCTCCCCTGCGTGTGCGAGGTGAGCGTGGCAGGGACTGCGTCCCCGCTGCGTCCCTCGGGGACTGTGTGACTCCAGGCAGGTCACTTTCCCTCCCTGGACCCCTGTCCCATTGCGTCCCATGAGGGGACAGTGACACCCGCTGTGCTGGCCCCTTGCAAGGAGCTCTGGGCGCCAGCAGCCTGGACGGGCTTTCCCAGCCCGCGGCGCGTCCCGCACGCAGCCTGTGTCCGGCCCAGGACCTGGTCGGCGTTCTGTCCATTGACGCCCAGCTTTCTTCCAGGAGAGGGGGCTCTCGCTAGGGACACAGGCGTGCTGGGGGACCAAGGTGTGACGTGGTGGCAGGCCGGAGCCCACGCAGGGAGGGCAGCTTTCCGCGCGCGCTTCCAGGGGCTGGGGGGCCGTCTCACGCGGCCCTGGTGGAGGCGGGTGAGACCCAAACCGCTCCGAGCTTTCTAGACACCAGAGCAGACCCAGAACATCAGCCGTCCCTGGCAGGGAGCGGCCACCCCCAGCACCTTCGCCCCCTCATTTATGGTGCGGCCCGCCCCCCAGATTTACCAGAAGCCCGCATCCGGGTGAGGCGCAGGCTCTGAGGTCGGCGGCCCCAGAGCCGGGGGCCATGCCGGGCGCAGGAGGTGCCGTCCGCCGGGCCTTGGCGGCTCGGCAGAAGTTTTTAGTGGACGCGGAGTTTTGTTCTTCCGTTTGTCCTTGCCTTGGTTTTGGTTTCCCTTTTCGGAACAGGCTGAGGAAGACTGAGGGCAACGTGTTCAAACCGAGCTCCCCTGACGTCACCCCCCGGCCCTGGGCCCCGGGCGGGCGGGCGGGCAGGTCCCTGGGGCGCAGGGGCAGTGACTCACAGCAGCAGCCAAACCGGCCGAGCAAGGGCTTCCCCGTAGCCCTCAGGGGCAGGTGTGAAAGGAACACCGCGATGCTATTTCCTGCGCGACATGCTCTCAACCTGTGGGCAACACAGGCGGACGGAAGGCAGACAGTAGAGACCACGTGTGACAACGCCACTCGGAGGGAACCCGTTCCGGACGTTTCTGTCGCGCTCGCGATCGTTAATCAGCTTCAGGGCCTGTCATTGACACGGAATGACTGACTAAGCCCGCGTGGGCGATCCGGAAGGCTCTGGCACACGTGTGCACCCGCGTGGACTCCAGCCGGTGCAGATCTACGCCCACCACCTCGGCCGCGTCCTGCGCCCTCTGCCATCGCCCCCGGGCTCCTCCCCCGCGCCCTCCCCCTTGTCCCCGCTGGACCCCAGAACCCCCGTGCGTTGCCGAGGGCGCCTTACCCTGAAACCTCGCAGGGGTGGCCGCTCGCCTGAGGTGGGGTCCCGCCCCTGAGCGCATCCTCTGGGAAGCAGCCGTGGGAGCCCGCCCAGGGGTGGGGCCCACCTCTCAGGGAAAGGGGCCGTGGCCGAGCGGGGAGCAGGCCTGCAGGCGCGGGCGCACCCCTCTGCGGCCGCCTGGAAGGTCAGGGGTGCGGAGGGTCCCTGGAGGCACGCGGGCTGCTCCCACCCCAGCTCATGGCCCTCAAGGGGAGGCTCCGGGTTCAGTGTGCGGCCCAGGCACCTCTGGCCAGCAGGCCCCCGGGCGACGGGCCCTCCCCCAGCCCCGCCCCCCCGTCACCGGCACTGTCACCAGCTCCCCGCCCCAGCCTGCGAGGGGGACGGTGAGGGTCCTGGGTTCTCTCTCTGCACACGTGCAGTCAGCCCCCTGCCCCGCGGGAAGGCGCAGACCCCGCCGCCCTTGGGCGCACACGGCCGGGACCTCGTCTCTCCTCAGAGCCCCAGACGCCCGAGGTCGCGCCCTGCGGCCCAGAGCCCCGGTGCCTGGGGGAGCCGCTGCCCTCTGTCGCCGTGCCTGAGGGACGGACCCACATGAGACTGTTTCTCTGGATTCCTGATGACGTGCTGCACTCGGCAGGGAAGGCTCCTGTCCCGACTGGCAGGGAGCGCCTGCCCGGGGCTCGGGAAGGCGTGGCTCATGGGTGAATCCACCGGGGACCTCACAGGCCCGCACCCCAAGCAGCTGATTGCTAAACTTTGGGCGGTTTCATTCCGTTTTAAAACTGTAATGTTGTCTCTCACATGGCAGCGACCTCCCCGGCTTGTATAAGGGTGCGAGCTGCCCTCTGGCGCCGAAGGCTGGGCGGCCCGGCTCGCCCTCAGCCCGGCCTGGAAACTGCCGGGAGAAGCAGCCGCTCCGCCTGCCCCAGGGCAGCACGGGAAGTGCGGGTCTCCAGCCCACGGAGCGGGGCCCCACCCCTGCGAGGCACAGGCGACCAGCTCAGAGCCAGGCCGGATCACGGCCGGCAGCCCGCCCTGCTCTAGGGTGGGCACCGAGGCTGCAGGCCAGGGCCGGCCAGGACGTGGGGACCGGGGACCGTCCTCCGTGGCAGAGGAAGCAGGAAGACATCGAGCTGCATGCACCAGCAAGCGACACCTCAACCGGCGGGGCTGTGGACTGGGGACGGGTGGAGGGGACGGCGCCCTCCTGGCCCCCAGCACCCGCACTCCCCTGCTGGGGACAGAGGAGGCGCCGGCCTGGCCCTGGGGACCAGCTCGGCTGGACAGTCTGACCCTCAGGGGACGTGGGAGTGGCCGGTATCCTTGAAGCAGTCTTGTCCAATGTCGCGTCCGCCTGGTGGCTTCCCCGCGCGCCAGGGAGAGCCCTGAGCCCCGACTGAGCGCTCGGCCCTCGCCCGCCCCAGGCGCCCGCCCACTCCCGTGCAGAGCGGAGCTGGGTGTCGCCGTCTTGCTCACTTGACAGCTGTTAACGTGCAGAGCTGCTGGGAGGACGCACCTGTGTCAGAAAAGAGTGGGAGGCGACAGGGTGGCACGAACAGCCCTCGGAAAAGAAGGAAACGTCCTGCCGCCTACAGGAGGCGCTGAGGAGGCGGGCCGAGGCGTGGCCGGGCGGGCTCGAGGGGCGGGGCTCGAGGGGCGGGGGCGGGGGCGCTCCACGTTCGGCTCGGGGTTTGCAGGGCAGGACGCCCTGGCAGGGAGACTGGGGGGTGTGGGCCCTGGGGTAGTGGGGTGTGGGGACCATCAGAGGGGCGACCTTCGACCCTCAGGTGAGGCTGGATGGCGGCTTGGATTCGAGTTCCTTCCTAATGGGGTGTCTGAGCCTCCCGACGCCTGGCACCCCACCGGCCCCACAGGCGGGCTCCTTAGGGGCGACTTGGCAGGGCTGGGGGGCCGCGGGCAGGCCAGCAGCCTGGGCCTGAGCAGGGTCCCCACGCGGGGTCCTTAGGCGGAGTCTGGGAAGGACACCGCCCCCACCTGCAACACAGGGATGGGGGCAGAGCGGACGCTGGGCCTGAGGAGGAGGAGGAGGAGGAGGCGGCGGCTTCGGGGGCAGGGCCCGCCTCCCCAGCACCCACCCGAGCAGCCTGGGCTTCTTCGGGGAGGAGGGGATTTTGATTCCCAGGGCGTGGCCCTAGCCTCAGCCTCTTATGGTCGGTCGTGCGCTAACCCGGGCGGGAGGGTGGGACACGCTCTGCTGCCGTCCGTGGGTCCATTCCTCACCCGCAACTGTCAGGCACGGACGGGAGCTGGGGGCTCCGGGGCTGGGTGGGGCAGCCCGGTCCCCGCCTGCCCTGGGACAGGGCCCTGTCCGCTGTGTGTGTACCCCCACCCCGCCCGCCCCTGCCCCAGCCCGAGGAGTCCCCGTCCTTCCCCCTCCCCCGCCCCCGGGACTGAGCCTGGCTCCAGCCCCAGCAAGGCGTTCTCGCTGCCTCGGTTTCCGCATCTGTGAAGCGTTGGGAGCACGTCAGGGGCGGGTGAGGATAACAGCACACGAGGGGCAGAGCCGGGAGGGGGAGCGCGGTCCCCAGGCCCCCGCCGGGCCCCTCGGAGACCCGTGGCCCTCCGGCGCCCCCGGAGGCGAGCCGGCCCAGGGAGGTGACCCCGCGCGCGCTGTCGTTGCAGTGCACCACCTCTTCGCGGCCGCCGCCTGCCAGCCCGCCGACCCCGGCGCCCTGCTCCGGGAGCTCTGCCTCGCGCCGTTCCACGTGGCCATGGAGGCCGTCGGGGAGACCCTGTGGTGCGACTGGGGCCAGACCGTCGCGTGAGTGCCCCGTGTCCCCTGGGGGGGGCGCGGCCCGGGCCTCGGGGCCACGTGAGGGGCTCCTCGCCAAGCCCAGGGGGGCGGGATGTGGTCCTGGGCGGGGGCAGACTGAGGGGGAAGGGAAGGAGGGGCCCGTGACAGGGCAGTGTGCACAGGGTGGGGCAGGAGGCATTTGTCATGGCCCGGGGCCCCGTATGGGGGGTCCCCAAGGTGACACGAGACAGAGGGCCCCGCTGGGGCTGTGTCCAGACCGGGATGCCTGTGGCCCCCCCCGTGCAGGCGTCCGGGGGGCCACGGAGAACACAGCCAAGCGCCCAGAGGGGCCCCCGGGCGGCACGGAGGTCCGTGCTGGCTCGCTCGGTGCCGTGGTCAGGCCGCCACGTCCTTCCCCCGTGCGGGGTGGGGAGCGCCCTGGGGTCAGGGGGAGGCCAGCCCTGGAGGGGCCGCCACGGCACCCCGCGGAGGGCAGCTGGCCTGGAGCCCTTGCCCTGGGGGCTCAGTCCTTCTGCCACATGCCTCCCTTCCCGCCCCTCGGGGTTCATCGCCCCCTCCCTGCCACCTCAGGGTGGGGGTCGGGCTTCCCTCGCCCTCTGGCCGGGCGCCTCCGCACCCTGGAGCCTGAGCAGGACGCAGTGTGAAGAGGCCTGTAGGGGGCCTGGGGACAGCAGGGTCCCCGCATTCTCATCCTTTAAGGTCTCGTTTTCTAAACTGAAAAGTTAATCACGGGTAAGAAATGGGAGGGGCGGGGCGGGTGGTTAAAAATCCGAACAGCCTGTTCCCAAGGCAGATTGGCCTTGTGCCTGGGCTGAGTGGTCTGTGTTCAAGGTCAAGCGTGTGCCTGTCACCACGGAAGGCGCCCCAGCGTCCCTCCGCGTGAGCGGTCGTGGATGGGTGTGGCAGGATTGTGAACTGGTGGCCTGGCCAAAGACGAGGTGACGCTGGCGATGTTCCCCAAGAAGCAGTAGCGACGTTCCTAGAAACCAAAGCCACCCCGGCCAGGTTCGGACGGGGCCCGGCCTGCAGCCGGGAACGGCTGTCGCCCAGGCCCAGGAGCGTGGCCCGTCGCCGGAGCCACGCGGTGACGCAGCGGAAACGGGAGCCCAGGAGGGTGAGGGCGCTGGAAGTTCCTTTTATTGAAAAGAGAAAATCCAGCGCTGGCCCGTGGGGCGCAGCGGGCACAGCGGGCGCGACGTGGCCCCGCAAGGCGAACGTCGCCGGTTTTGCGGGTTCCCTGTCGGAGCGCGTGCGGGACAGGCTACGGATTCAGTGCCTCGCTCCCATCAGTGTCTCCCTCGCTCCCATGCGCCTTCCCTTACCCCCTTGGGAATCGATACAGGAAAAAAATGTCGAAAAGAACATCAATATCCTGGAGGGGCCAGGAGCAGAGCCCCCGTGATGCCAGCGTCGCTGTACACACAGGGCGTGTGTTGCGCCGCATGGCATGTCACATGGCACGACGTGTGTTATGTTATATGTCGCGCTGCATGGCCTATGCTATGTGGCATGTTGCATTACATAGCTTATGTCATGTTGTTAGAGAGCCTCCAGGTGGCTTTGGTGTCCTTTGGACCTGCCCCATCCTCGGGGGGGCACGTCCTTACTTTCTGGTGTCTCCGAGATGTTCCAGACCCATCTTGGACAGCGTCTGCCCAGCCCTGGGACCAGCTGTTTCTCTCTGGAACCTGGTTCTTCTTTGCAAAGAACGGTGTGTAGAAGCCAAGGTAGATGGATAGACAGACAGATAGATCATAGATACAGAGACGTAGACACAGATATAAACATAGACACACACGTATTCATACCAGGCGTTTAGGTGTAGGTGTAGCCAAGGAAACCACGCTGGCAGGCACGGGGAGGAGGGGGGTGAATTCCCCTCTAAACCCGGTGGGGGCTCGCGATCTGTGACAACGTTCGCGTCCAGGAATCGCCTTCTGAGATGCGGGGTCTGCAAGGCGCGGGCGGGCGCTGCCGCGTGAGGCAGGACCCCTTGACTTGGCCTCAGGGCCTGTCAACGGCCGGGGGGGTGCCGCCCCCACTACCGCAGACGATCCTCTTTACCGATGGCCAGTTCACCGCGGCGTGGGCCGTGCCCCCAGAGCACCCAGGCCGCGCTTCGCTGAGTGGCGGGGACCACAGCCTGCGCGGGCCGGCACGGAAGCCGACCGGCACCCGGGCGTGCGAGGGCCCGAACCACGCTCTCGGGGGGGGCCCCTCGAGGCGCGGCCTCCCCTCGTCCCTGCCCCCCGCCCCGTGGCGCGCCTGCTTTTCCCCCTCCCCACCCCCTCCCTGCGGGCGACCCGTCCCCCTCGGTCCTGTCCCCCCTTCCTGTGTCTCTTTCGCACGAAGGAGCAGGTGCACCCACGTTCTCATACGTGGGTCCCCCTCTCTCTGACGTGACGTGTGTCGCACGGTGGGCGCTCTTTGCGCTTGCCCCACTCGCCAGTGCGCCCTGCAAGCCGGGCCCAGTCCCCATGGCGCTGCCTCCTCCGCCCGGGCAGCGGGCCGCCCCCCGCGCCTCGCTCTCTGCCACCTCCCGACAGGGCCGGCCGGGTTTGCCGGCGCCCCCAGCTCAGACGTGCCGGGCGGCCCGTGTCCGTGGAGTCGGCGCTGTGTCTTTAGGGCTGAGGCCGAGACGTGGGTATGGCACCCAAGCCTGGGCTGATTTCCAAAGTGCCGCCAAGCGTGTGGCTGCTCAGAGGTGGGACCTCCTCAAGGGAAGAAATGGGGTCTCGAGTGACAGCAGGTGCGGGTGCTCGGCCGTGTCCCAGCAGCAGGAGAGCGGGTCTCGAGGGACCGCGTGAGGCCGTGGGCCTGCGCCGTGATTCCGTTTCGCAGCTCGCCAGAGGGACGGCCCCGGGACCACCGCCCGGCCTGGCTCTGTGTTTGACCCGGGGAGGGCCCCGCGGCAGCCCCGCACGGGACGGCGGGCAGGCGCGTGGCTGCGGGTTCCCTCCCGGGCCCTTTCTTGTCTGAGAGTGCGTGGGGTGTCGGGCCCGTCCCTGCGCCCGGTCCCGGCGGGGCAGATGGCTTTGGCAGGGCCAGGCCGCCCGGCCCCAGGCCGAGTCTGCCCTGTCCTGGGGTGAGCGCGTTCAGCTGCGTCCTCTGTTTGCTAATGGAGATGGAACGTAATTGCGTTCATTAGCTGGGAATACAATCTAATTTGGGGAGCTACAGAGACCGAGGGAAAAACAGGGCATCAGGAAGCCTCCCTCCCCGAGGGCTTCCTGTGGGCGTCAGGAGGTGAGGGCGAGCAGAGCGAGGGAGAGAAGGACCTCAGAAACGGGAACTCAGCAAGACCGGGCTGGTTTTAAAGCAACCGCACATGGGTTTCCTCCCCAGAACGAGAAGGGTGGGGGCCAGAGGCCCACAGGCCCCTCCCTTCCTGCCGGTGGCACGGCGGGGGAGATGCTCCCCAGACAGCCCAGCCAGCAGAGTCAGCGGGCCCCAAAGACCCCCCTTCCCTTTCGCCCCATCCGGGCTCCCTTCTCTCTACCCTGACGCGCCCAGAACGATAAATGCTGGCAGCGTCCTCCTGGGCGCCCAGTGCTGGGGTCTCGGGGCCGGCTCCCTGGGGGGTCGCCGGGGAGAAGGGTGCAGGCCCCCACGTGTCCACGCCCGAGGGCATCGGCATCACTCTCTCTCCAGTTCTCTGGGTCGCTCTGGCCCAGGGGGAGGCCACAGCCGCTTCCCCAGACACAGCGGTCACTGGGCACTGGGCCTGCTGGGGTGTCTTTTCTCATCGCGTGCCTTTAACAGCCCTGTTTTGCACCCTGCTCAGTTTGGGGATGAAACCAGGCCTCTGTGTCAGAACGTGAAAGGCCAGAAGCAGGCGACACTAAGCAGATCCCGGCGTGAGTGGGAGGAAGGGCGGACGGGCGGGACGCGTCCTGGTGACGGGGGCGCCTGACCTGCCCTTGGACGCACGGCTCCGGCACCGCCCCCGGCAGCATGGACCCCAGAGCTGTCCGCCGTGGACAGCGGCTCCCCCGTCCAGGAGGGCGGGCCCAGCGTGACCGCCTTGTCACAGGCGCCCTCCCAGGGCTGTCCAGGGCCGGGGCGGGCAGCACGCGGTGGGACACAGGGCGCGGTGAGGGGTGTGCTCGGCTGTGCTGTGGTTTGTGCGCGGGGGCGGGGAGGGGCCGGCCCAGCGGGGGCTGGGGCCAGCGCCCCTCAGAAGGCTGACCTTCCCCCAGCGCCCGTCCTGCTCCGGAAAGCCCAGGTACGGGCCTCCCGGGACCCGTCCGCCCACCGGTGGGCCTCCCCCAAGCTGGGGACGTTCTCCTCCACTCTGGGGGCGGCGGGCCTCCAGGAGCTTCGGCACGGCCCCGCCTGCCCCGTGCACGCTGGGACGCTTGTGCCCAGGACGCCCGGTGCGACACACCCCGGAACAGGGGCGTCCTAGGTCTGAGCGCCGCCCGCCCCTCCCCCGCCACCAGCTTCGTGGCTCCAGCGGAACGCGGCCGGTTTCTCTCCCCGTCCTGCCGTGTTCGGCCAGCGCCAGGCTTTCGCTGTTGTAAATGAACGAGCGTGCGCACACCTTGCTTTTTTCAACCCATTCCTTTAGTAATTCCGGCACGGGGCCTACTGCAGACGGCGCGGGCCCCGGAGGTTCTGCGGTTCCTAGAGGCTTTACCCCTTTCAAACAGTCCACTGATTTCTATCACCGGGAACCTGTGAAGATATTTAGTTCTCTCACGGGCCCGTGAGTCGTGAGTCTGGAGAGATGTTATTCTTGCAGGTTTAACGAGAGTCCCTGTCGGGTGTGGATGTGCCGTCGGGCGCCGCTTTCCGCCCCACGGTTGGGGGCGGGCTGTTTTTCTCGAGTGCACGTTGTCCGCCTGGAGCCTTTGCTGTTGATCTGCGTCACCACGGGCTGTCCTTCACCTTCTTTTGCAGACTCCGGGGTGTTGCGGAGTGTAGCTGTTTGCCGTTTTGTTCTGAATGTCTTCTCCCCGCATGTCCCCTGTGTCTGTGCGCACGGTGCTTCGGGGCTCAGCCCC